ACCTGCCTCTGCTGAGTGCTGGGATTAAAGGAATGTGCCACTGCTGTCCAACTGATATTTATTATTTTTGAGACATAGTCTCATATACCTTAGGCTACTCCCAACTCTATGGAGCCAAGGATGGCTTTTTAAAAATATTTATTTTTTTATTTATGTTTTTATGTATGTATCTGTGTATGCATGTCTATGCACATGTGTACATACGCCTGAAGAGGAAGGAGCCCTTGTAGCTTCAGCTACCAGTGATTGTGTGTGTCCCATTGTCAGTATTGGGGACTGACTTTGGATTTTCTGCAAGAGCAGTCAGAGGGGTACATTTCTCAGCAGTGTGGAGGGGCATCCACGAATGAATTTGAACTTGGATGTAGCAGGAAGTATGGGGCGAGTTCCAGGAAAGACAGCATCCTGCCTGAACTTAGGAGAGTAAAGAGAAGAGAGGGATGGATGTTTGATGGGTGAGCTGGCACAGGAGTCCCTAGGTAAAGGAAATGGGTGTGTACAACTTAAGCAACACACAGGACCCCATACTTGGTATTCATTTATAATCACCATTTTGAACTCCTTAGTGCTTGAAGAAAGGACCTCACTTTTTTTTTTTTTTTTTTTTTTTTTTGAGACAGGGTTTCTCAGATGTCCCCCTGCCTCTGCCTCCTGAGTGCTGGGATTAAAGGCATGCATGTACACCACCCAGCTCACATTTTAATTTTTAACAAGATGTTATTTTTAAATGTGTGTTTTGCCTAAATGTAAGTCTGTGCATTATGTTTAACCCTCACTTTCTCAAAAGATCCTGCAGGGTTTTTTTGTTTTGTTTTTTATGAGAGGGTATTTAATCATACCTCTTTCATATATCACATTACACAATAACAAGAAAATCTACACTTACATGGAAAGAATGGAGATCCAGATATAAATTATATTTTTGCAAAAACAACAAAACTCTATAAAATAAAGGGAAAGCCTAAGGAAGGAACACAATTTAACCAGTGCTATTTGGCTTGACTTCTAAATATGGGACAAAATAAGTCACAATTCCCACTGCCTTCTAAAATAACATGGACATGGAGGGTTTTCCTGTTTGTGGATGTGGAGTTAGAGGTCAGCATTGAGTATATTCTTAAATCCCACTCTCCATTTTTTGAGGCCGGTCTCTCACTGAATCTGGGGCTCACTATTTTAGCTATGCTTGCTGGCCATCAAGACCCAGGGACCTGCCTGTCTTGCCTCCCCAGTGCTGGGAGTACAGACAGCTCTTTTGGTGGGTACCAGGGTCCTCAAGGTCCTGAACCCAGGTCTCCAAGCTTGCATGACATATACTTCACCAACTCAACTATCCCTCTACCTTTGTTTTTTCATCTTTTTAAATTTAAAAAATAAATCCGCCGAGTAGTGGTGGCGCAGGTCTTTAGTCCCAGCACTTGGGAGGCAGGGGCAGGCAGATGGATCTCTGAGTTTGAGGCCAGCCTGGTCTACAAACTGAGTTCCAAGACATCCAGAGCTGTTACACAGAGAAACCCTGTCTCAAAAACACAATAAATAACTCCTACGAAACTGGCCCAAAGAAAGAAAATACTGAGTAAGAAACAGCTTTTGCTCACTCCACTTTGCGGCACTCTCTTCCAACAAAAACTAAAAAATCCAATCTAAAAAAGGAAAGAGCGACAGAATCAAGAGAGGAAGAAAACCCATACATAGGAAAAGTAGAGAATAATACAGAAAGCGAGGCCCACCACATCGTGAGAAAGACCCACACGTTCAAAGGCCTAGTGTGAGCTGCCCCAGGTTCTTGTAGAAGCCGGCTTTGTTCACACCCTGCTTGAGGGTGAGGCACCCTGGGAGAGGAAGTGGGGAACCCTGGGGCGTTCTAGAAAGCTTGTGGGGTCCTGCCTGTTGGGGCTCGAGTTCTTCAGCTCTGGCTCTTCGCCCCAAGCAGGGCTCATTCAATTTCTCGCCCCCGCGGCTTCCGCGTGGGGCCAAGACCACCCAGGCTCCCGGGACACCGCCAGGCCTCTCCTGGATGCCGGGGTCATGATGCCGCTGCCGGCTCGAGTCCTACTCTGCCCCGCCCTCTTCCCTGCTGTGTTTCAGAAGGTTGTGAGCCACAGTTTCCTCTTTTGCAGAGGATGTCGAGCAGCTCCCAGCATCTTTGTAATTACTCTGTTCCATTAGCGATGAGGACAAAATTCTCAGCCCAGTGGAGCTTTTATCCTAAAAGTTGGGGAGGCACAGAGAGGACTCAGGAGACCAAATCAACACAAACACATGATTTCAAGTCAAGGCTGTAAAGAAAACAAAGCTAGATTGTGCAAGGTGGGGGAGGCGTAGAGGAGGCCGATAAATGGCCGGGAGGGAAACCAGCAGTAAAAAGTAAGCTGCTTGTCAGGCAATGATGCCTTGTCTTCCTCAGATCTGAGAGAGAAGGGAGTCTTCTTTATTCTGTTCCAAGGCAAGAGGATCTGGAGGAGGACCAT